AAGATTCAAAGTCCAATAAAAAATAATCATGAAAAAAGATAATGCAGGGAAAAACATTTGGCCAGAAGCCAAAAGTCATGTTTTGGGACCCTGATTCTTTTTTGTGCGATGCTCTGTAAGAAGATTAAGCTCTCTGAGCTTCAATTCTTTCATATGTAAAATGAACAAAATTGTAGTTTCCACTTCACAAGGGATTTGCGAGGTAAAATTATTAAAGTGTTATTTTGTAATAAACATCTATACAGGTGTGGCAGTAACTAATAATTATTATAATTTATGGTTTGGGATGCATCACTTAAAAAAAAGGAAGTAGGGTGGCTCAGTTCATGGAGCGTCTGACTCTTGATTTTGGCTCAGGTCGTGATCTCACAGTTTGTGAGTTCGAGCCCCATGACAGGCTCTGTGCTGACAGTGCAGAATCTGCTTGGGATTCTCTCTCTCTCTCTCTCTCTCTCTCTCTGTCCCTCCCCTGCTTGCAGGCTCTTTCTGTCTCTTTCTCTTAAAAATAAACATTTTTAAAAAGTAAATAAAAAAAATAAAAATAAAAAGGAAGTAAAAGATGAAAATACCACCCCGAATTGTCCTCCTTATAGTCTTTCATTCACCAAACCCCATGTTTGTCTGATGTCTCATTTTACACTTCAGATGATTTTCCAATATTTTAAAAAAAGTAACAGATAAACTTTCAGTATTGATAGGTGACTCTGCCCTGGTTTAGCTTCTGTATTATACGTTTATGCTCTAAAATATGAACATCAATTTCCTGTTCCTGGATTGTAGAAATTACCATCAATTTAATTTTCTGTGCTATGGAAAAATATCTGCTTTTCATATGACACCTTTTCCTTTTCTCTAGATTTGAGTGTCAGTGAAGGACAAAATAATGAATATTCATAGATCTTTTACATATTGCCAATTATATGAAAACACATTCAACAGATACTTGTACCTAATCTACACCAATTACATAGGTGCATGATTTAGGTTTGAAGCATACCTAATAAAAATAAGTAGAAAAATAGACACATATTCCTTTCAAAATAAATATTTCTTTTTAAAAAAAAATTTTATTTATTGAGAGAGAGAGAGAGAGAGAGAGAGAGTGGGGGTGGAGTGCAGAGAGAGGGAGAGAGAGAATCTCAAGCAGGCTCCACACTGTCAGCACAGAGCCTGATGTGGGACTCGATCTCAGGAACTGTGAGATCATGACCTGAGCTGAAACCAAGAGTGGGACGCTTAACTGACTGAGCCACCCAGGTGCCCCCCAGATATATATTTCTTAATTTATGGTTTTAAAATGTTTGTTGTTGTTTTTAGACTTAATAAGGACATTTCTTGAAAAACATTTCTTTAACATTTATTTATGAGAGAGAAAGAAAGACAGAGTATGAGCGGGGAAAGGGCAGAAAGAGAGAGGGAGACACAGAATCCAAAGCAGGCTCCAGGCTCCGAACTGTCAGCACAGAGCCTGGCACAGGGCTCAAACTCGAGGACCAGGAGATCATGACCTAAGCTGAAGTTGGAGGCTTAACTGACTGAGTCACCCAGGTGCCCCAACCAATATAAGGACATTTCTGTTCCTATGTGTGAATGATCAGCATATTCTTGTACCTGAATCTGAATCCTATTCTTACTGTCTCCATCATTCACTTTCCTTCTCTTAGCACTACTCACCAGCTATTGGGAAGTCTGGAAAAGAAGAACTTAGGTTTTATAAGTTAACTTTTTTTTTTTTTTAATTTTTTTTCAACGTTTATTTATTTTTGGGACAAAGAGAGACAGAGCATGAATGGGGGAGGGGCAGAGAGAGAGGGAGACACAGAATCGGAAACAGGCTCCAGGCTCTGAGCCATCAGCCCAGAGCCCGACGCGGGGCTCGAACTCACGGACCGCGAGATCGTGACCTGGCTGAAGTCGGACGCTTAACCGACTGCGCCACCCAGGCGCCCCATAAGTTAACTTTTTATGGATAAATTTCATTAATTAAATTCCCAGCCTATTTCAGTCTCTTTGGTCAGGAAATGGAAACTGAGTGAGATATAGAGATGGTCTTGTAGAACATGTTCCAGAATGACTTGGTTTCATCTCGTTCTGTGTGTGTGTGTGAGAGAGAGAGAGAGAGAGAGAAAGAGAGAGAGAGACAGAGAGACAGAGAGGCAGAGAGAGACAGAGAGAAAGATACAGAGAGACAGAGAGAGACATATTGACTGAGATTTAGAACAAATTGAGGAGCAAGGCTGAGAGGCAAAGACAAAGGCTTGTCTATACAACTTCAACTGAATTGGACCTGACTGAAAGATTGGTTTGGTTGGATTTACCAGAGCCTATCTCCTCAGTGGCAGTGATCTGAAAATTGCTTCCAGGGCCATTTTAATTAGCTGATTCAGATCAAAACAAACACATCCTGGTGACCTCCATTTTTACCCTGGCCCTCGCCAATGACAGTTTTCAAAGCGGTGATTCCTAAGTAGTTCTCCATGAACTCAATAAGCTATCTGAGGTGTGCACTTTTGCTTTTAAACATTAATCTTTAATGCAAAGGGAAGAATCCATTTTTCTTGGCTTCAGTGACAGGTGAATGTTAGTGCACAGATGCATTTGTGCAGGGGCTCAAAACTTAAAACCACAAAAACACGAAACCTGCTCATCCATAGTTAATTTATGAAATGAAATTTAGGAATGACGTTATGAAATGGAGTGTCATTCTTCAATATCATTTTAATATGGAGATTTCATTGGGCTCCATGGCAGTATGGTGAATTTATTACTTCGATGCATTTTATTTCTTGGGTGTGCTTTTAAGTTAAAAGTACGTCAGGTCTTGTAAATAGAAAATGAAACATTTGATGCCTCTGATTTCCTATGTTTGTTGTGATTATTTTAATTGTTTACTCATTTATTAAAAACCTTGTGGGCAATTTTGCATAGTGTATTTCCTTAGAGAAAAGAGTGACGATTATATGGGATAGATTAAAAAGAGATGGTAGTGAAATTTTAGAAATTTTAGACACATAATTTAAGACACAATTACAGAGGGGAGAAAAGGGGGAGAAATAATATGCTATTAAAATAAAAAAGTATTTACTGCAATTCAAGAAAGATCTGTGCCATAATCTATCATACGACAAATAATCGAAAGTCAAAGATAGCCATATGACTTCAAAATATCGGGATGAGGCAATAGTAATACTGTGCTATGACAAATAATATGATTTCCTTCATTGGTTATTCTCAAACATGCGTTCATTCATTAAATCAATTTTCACTGAAGGCCGACCAGGTGCCAACACGGAAACTGTAGCAATAAACAGAATGGACATGACATTTGCCTTCAGGGAGCTCATTGTAGCCTCGTACGGGATGTCAGGCTTAAATGAGTAACTTCACAAGAGTAGTTAAATATTTGATAAAGTCTATGGCAACGTATCACATACAGTAAGAGCCCATAACAGGAAGGTCTAATGTCTTGGCATGCATTACAGCTATATTGTTGCAGTTGATTTGGGAATAGGAAAACAATATCTGAAACTTGCAAATGTTGAGCTTTCACTTGTGTCCAGGCAGTTTTGAAATGAAATGTGCAGTCATATAGTTTGTGTAAAATAAGACAAACTATGTTCATCTTAAACGTACAATTTAAATTAGGAAGATGCACTTATCAGTGATGCCTTCATAGATGCAAGCTGCTTGTGTAATAGGACAAAATTTCCCAAGTTATGGTAATGGTTAGAGCTGCTTCAGAAAGAAAGAAAACATTCTTTTTATTTCTAGGAAAAGATAACAACTAATTCAAAAATTAAGACATTTTAAAGCTGCTTAAATTTATACAGCTAATATTGATAATCTGTGATTAGAGCAATGCTTAAACATTTTCTGTCCTTGAATATGAATAATTAATTTCAACATTAGACATTACTTGTTTTTTTTTTTACACCAATTACTTTCAAAAATGAATTGGTCAATTATTCAGTGGTATAAATCATTTACTTCTTTTCTAACTTCGATTCTCGTGTGCTGACGCATCGTTACTTTGGAAATTGAGTGGAATATTTATTTCTCTTTTCTGATTCTAATTCTTAAAGATAAATACTTCTGGTAGTGAACTGTAGCATTCTATTCTATGGAGGTGATTTATTATTTTTTTGGCAATGTTCAAACTTACTAAATGTTTTACTAACATCAATTGTGCTGTCAAACTAGAAGCCGATACTCTGTGTACCTTCTAGCACTGAGAGCAGAAATCAGCCACTTGGTCAGTAGCAAGTTCAGAGAAAAAATTAACACTATTTAAAACTGACATTAGCAAAATATTTTGAAGGGATATTACCATCACTTTATTTGTGCAAAGTAGATACAAAGTTGGAAAACATTGCCCTTTTAGGGTCATGACTTTGAAGGGGAGAGTTATTCATCCCCGACCTGAGATCAGCAGGCCATTTGTTGATAGCATGTAAATTGCTCAGATTTCTGTAAAGAGACAGCTATCTAAGGATTGTTTTTAAAGACAAGAGAGCTACTTTGAATGGTGTGAACACTCAGATCAAGAGCACATCTCTGAGATCTTAGGGACTTGTAAATTGTAAAAACTGTGACAACAAAATTACCATTTCATTATTTGTATTTGTAGTATAAACAAAGCCAGCATTCCCCCCCCCCCCCTTCCCCCTCCATCCCTCTTCTGGTGACATTTCATAGCCTTGAAAAGCTTGAAGCCTGAAACACAATTAATTCAATGTTTCTTTTACCATGCAAATATCTCTTGTCAGAGATAGCATCCTTGAGATTAGCCAGCAGTATTGATTTAGATGCCCCAGGGTTGTTAATTGTAGGGAACTGTTATATCTCTATGACTTCTGAAAGAGGTTCTGGCCACTGCAAATACATCTTAAGGAAGAAAAGAATACTATCAGCCAAGATGTGCACCCAAGCTTTGGAACTAGGCTGGCAAAACCCTACTCACATTGCTGTAAAGCAGACATATATTTTTGTATTTTTTGTAGGTGGATACAGTGCAGACCACGAACCCCCCTGGCCACATTGAGGAATCGTGTAAAATGAATGTATGTGCTCGTAAGTGAAATACATGTAATGTTCCAACTCAGTGTGTTGGATCTTAATAGACCTGAAATGTCTTGTGCAAAAAGAAATCGATTCCCAAGGGGCAGGACCACTATCTGATTAAAATGAAGCTCTGATTGTGAAGAAAACGCAAAATGGACTTAAAATAAAATCTCTGCAAAAAGAAATCAAACTATACTTAGCAAACAAACTGAAAAAAAAATCAAGCTCTCAATATGGAATAAAGGAGGGATGTGAGAGAGGTTTTGCACTCTTATCAATTACTGTGGAGAAACAGAATCAAATATCGTCATACTCAGGAGTGTGAAAAGAAGAACAGGAAATCCTTTTTCTTTTGGTTTGCACTTGAATGGACTGAAGCAAAGAGTGGAGACACATCCTGTTCCTGTTTATAGTTAATAATGTGGAGATTAGTATAGATGTGATTTCATTTGCCTTGCTTGAACTAATTGGATGCATTATGTAGAAATCACCTGAGCCTGTGCTAGATCAACAAAGGAAATGGAAATGTATACCTCAGGACTGAATTCTGGGAAAATTAGACTGTTCAATGCTATTTAATAAGGCGTTAAGAAGAAATACTACTGCCAGTCAGGTAAAGTGAGAAAGGAGTGGACAGGAAAGAAAATAAAATTTCGGTCATTCTGATACTTGATGAAATATAATTCATTATGGCGTAAAAGCAGAGGATAGTTTGCAATGTATCTCACAGACATTTCACACAATTTCTGATTGAATTTAGGGTAAACCACGTAAATGTTCAAGGAATGTATGGCCATTATATCAATAGCAAACTGGCCTTTAAAATTTGTGGTCTTATGCATTCGTGTGTGGAGAGGAGGGCTTTTTTATTTGGTGAAGAATGAATTGCATGCAGGAAGAACCTCTTTGCATTATAGTTATTTGCTCAGTTGAAGATACTGTATAAAGTCCCGTTTTTGTATGAGTATGGGTGTATTTGGATGCATTTGTGTGTATGCGTATATAAATGGAGGCAGGTAAAATTCAATGGTTAACCTTTGCACTTTAGTTTGTTACCTAGAATGTAAAGAGGTAGCGGAAACTGTCTTAAGCCATTTCATACGTGTTGTCATTACTAAAGATAATTATTCACAAATGAAGCAATTCGAATATAGACTGACTGCAAAGGCTCTCCACTTAAGTATAATATTTATTGCCATTGAGCCATTTAAATTAAGATACTACCAATGTCTCAAAATAATGAGAGTAGGCTCCTGTGAAATCAGTTTGAGGACAGTTGGAAAGTCCTATTATATTCCTTCAGGTTACTTTTACTCAGTGACAGAGGATGTGAATCATGGCTGTTTTTATAGAAGAGACTCGGGAAATATTTGTGTTTTAACTATAACTTTTTAATATGCCTAAAGTTATAGTTTTTTTTTCCATTTTCTTCGGTCTAAATTAATTACAAATAATCATATATTAACATAGATAAGATAGTAAATATTTAAAACAGATAGACATATTTTTTGTAGTCACCGTGTGCCATAATAATTTTGAAACTATTGTTCTCTGGTATTTGTATTCATGTCTCTTTATCTTGCTGATTAACTTTATAGTAGAAATTTTTACCTCTTCTTTCTATGTGACAATCAACTGAAGTTGGTATCCTATCTATACTATTACAGGGATTTTTGTCTTTATTTATGCTATTATAATAAATTATAAGTCTACAAACTCTATAATTCTATTGTATCGAATATTTTTCTGTGACCAAAATAATAAAATGTAACTGCTTTATAAAATGACAATATTTCCTATTTTAGTAATCTCTTAAAACATAAAGGGACCTAAAATAGGTTCATGTTGCTGGCTTTGGAATACATTCTCCACAATTTGCGAGTGAAGAGCTTAGCAACTTTAGATAAAGAGAAAAAGTTTGACAGAGATAATTTCGAGGGTGTAAGGAGAAAAATACCCTGAGCAGATTCAGAAGTTTTGACGTCAAATTTTGCTTTGCCACTAAACAGCTATATATATATATAGATATCTATATAGATAGATAGATAGATAGATATCTATCTATCTAGATAGATAGATAGATAGATATTAGCTTTTAGGTGCTCAGATTTCTTAACTATAAAGGATGGGTTCAGATTGCACAATTTTAAGATCATTTTAATTCTTAACTTCTAAGGTTTTGATAACTTGGAAACAGTACAGCACGACACTTAATACTGATTATCTTAATACTCAGTAGTGATCATTGGTATTAAGAGAATCACATGCTGTTTTCCACTTAAATTGACCCAAAGCCGACCGCATGCCTTAAGAGTAAGGAGAAATGTGAACCCACTCTTGTTTCTGTTCCATCCTTAGTCTGACTTTAATGGAAATATGTACCGAAGTATAAATAATCATGTTCTGGGATCAATAGGTCTCCCTAAGTTAATTGATCCAAGAGGCACCCAAGTACAAAATCACTCAATTTGTATCAGAGGAAACCTTTTTGTTCTGCCCTGAGTTGCATGCCTTCCCTGGCCGAATATTAAAGTGCGAGAACCAGGTTTTCTTGCTCTTTACCCCCCAAGGATTGATCAGCACATGAAGGTCTCTGTGGCTTCAAAGGCATTTCTGGACTCCGATCAGCCTGGTTGGGTTCAGAGGAGAAGGAAACACTAGCCCCTGATGTTTACGGCGGTAGGCTGTTTCATCTCATAGTTCTCTGCTTAGGAGAAGCAAGGAGCAGAGGAGTCTTGCAACTGTTATAATTTCAGGATTAACGTTTAGTCACAAAGTGCCTCACACAGAAAAGCAGTGCTTTTATTTTAGTTTCCTGCTACTACTCCAACTGGGAAAGGTCAGAGAAGCAGTATGAGGCAAAATGAAAGCATATACATGTCAATTTTGGGGCGGAGGGCTCATACTAACTTGCAAAGTGGTGTCACTTTCAAAATCACAAAGGTGGTATGGATAATCTTCAGGGATCCTTAGAGAATTTATTACACTGAACATTTGTTTGTTTGTTTGTTTGTTTGTTTCAGTGAACTTCTGGTCATTTATGGGACTGATTTAGGTAATAAAATTTAATTCTGTCAGTTTATTCTTTATTCTACAAGATGAGAGTAAAGATGGGAGACCACCTACCAAGCCTATCCCATGACCCATTATCTCTAAATAAAATGTTTACCATTAGCTTTTGATTCTTTCCGTCTGAAAAAAAGGGGGGGGGAGGGGCAGTGGAGGGTGGAGGTGGTTCAAAGAAAGAAAATGATTATAAAGAGCAGCAGTGGGGCAACTGTTAATGAAATTCCCAACTGAAAAGTTATGTTCAGAATGCATCAGCCAATTGGATGCACAGAAGTAAAAATTTCACTAAAATAAAAAAAAAAAAGGCTTTAAAATATTATTGAGGATTGAAGTTGTTGCTTTTGGTGTTAATTCTGCTTATTTATTTATTTGGATGCTATTATTCCATTTCCTGGTTTTGATAAATATAAATTAGTTGAGTTACCAACAGTCAACTCTATAAAGATGATATGTTAATCGCTCAATTTAGTATTTATGCCAGCCTCATGAAGCAGATGCCATTATTGTCATATCACCCATTTCACAGATAAGGAAGATTAGGCACAGAGAATTTGGGCAAATTTGCAAAAGTACAGACCACCAGGAGATAGAGCGGGGCTCTGAGTCTTGCCAGCCTGGTTTCAGAGGCTACATACACTCAGCAGGTCACAGATCCTTCGTGCAAAAACTTGAGGGTCCAAGTTAGGCTCTGGAACTGCTCAGGGGGACAGGGGTGGAGTTTTTGGTTCTTCGGATCACACATCTGTTAACATGAGTGAAGCAGATTCAGCATGCATGACTTCAATGTGAAAGGCATCCAGACGTTCTCGCAGACAGAGTGGTGGACAACGGTAGAATCTGTGATAGGACATCTGCTTTACATATTGGAGACAGGGAAGAAGAAATTCTTTTCTAACTTACTTTGCTTTGCAGGCTTAAAATATGTTACTGGGTAATATTTGCATCAAACATCATTTGAAAATGGAGACTTCGCTGTGGACGGAGGCAAAAGACAACTGCATTCTTTGAACAAGGAGAGCTCGCGCGCAGGCTAATGGGAATTCCAGACACACAGGCTAATTATTACAATGTCATGTACTAAGTGAAGGGCGCTCAGAGTGCCTTAAGAGTGCAGCATCTGGAATCCAGGTTGCCTGGGTTCGAAACGTGGATCGCACACTTTACAAATTGAATGGCCTTTGAACAAGCATCTCTCTGCCTCCATTTCTTCAGATGTGACTGAAAGTTAGTAACAGCATCTACATTGTAAATTAGTTGTGATTATTAAGTGAGATTTAGCCAGCTGATGGGAGTATGGCATGACAAGACCTCAGTAAATGCCAGCAACTCTTGATTTCCTTATTGTTGTATTATAATCAACATATGAATAGAGTGTAGTTGTTGCTGATTGAGATGTTCACGGGCTAAAACAAACTCAATGTCACTGTCAGAAGTGACACAAAATGCACCTCACAGAACAGGTAACTCCAAGCCTCGATATACTTCATATACTATGGCATGAAACTGAGCAAAAGAGTGCGGGTACGGGTTCTCCGGGGGATTCATGAGTTTCTGGTCTGATACAATTCAAATCTTAGAGCTCTGTGAGCCATCATTTCTTCAAACATCGACAAGTGAACGGAAACTGTGAAAGCTGAAATCAGACCTGTCACCATCCAATGATGAAAGTTTTTAAAAGGGCAAAGAATAATTTTTGAAAGATCACTTTATCTGTGATTATAAGGGAGTATAATTTTCCCCAATTAGTAGTGACTTAGGCATTGTGAAATGTAAGAATGATAAATTATTTGTCAGATTATCATAAAAACTAAGGATAATGTTGATTATGATAACCCATCCATGAATAAGTAGCTACTATTCTTTGCAGATATTTAGTAGTTTTCTATGATATATGATAGGGCTTCATTTTCAAAGTCCTTTATTAAGCAGA